TACTTATGCATATAAATTTTATTGATTTCAAGACCTGGTATAGTCAAAAAACAACAAACAAAACAAAAACTACAATCAAAATTCCATCCAACTCCACTCAGAATAGCTATCAAAAACACAAAAATCACCAATGCTGGAGATGGGGTTGGGAATCAGGAAGAAACCCTTATAAACTGTTGGTGGGAATATAATTTAAATGAAAATGCTGTGACACAGATTTGTCCAAACAGTATCAAAAAAGAAGCTGGAAGAATCTCTCTTGCCAATTTTAAAACTTATAAAGTTAGTGATAGTCAAATCACTGCTGTATTGACATGACGGTCAATGATTATATCAATAAAACTGATTGGAAAATCCAGAAAAATATCCATTTATATATATATATATATATATGTATATATATATATACTTGACCTTCAAGTGTGCCAATCCCAATCAATGGGAAAGGAAGCCTTTTCAATGAACTAAGGCCATGTGCAATAGAACCAAGTTGGACCCCCTACCTTATAACATAAACATGTTCTAAATGGATAAAAGACTCAATTTCTAGAGTTAAAGCTATAAAACTTTTAAAATAAAATATGTGTAAACTAGAGTGATCTGGAAACACATCAGTTCATGGAAATTATATGAATAACAGAAGAAGCCAAAGAAAATATAGAAAAATTGCATTGTATTAAAAGTAAACACTCTATATAGGAGTAGTCAAATGTAGAAGGTCCTTAATTTTTTTTAACTTTACATGGTATAAAAATAATATACAAAAAAAAAAGCAATATACAAACCGGGTACCAATGGCTTATGCCTTTAATCCTAGCTAGATCTGGTTCAAATGGTTCATGGTTCATCCAGCCTGGGCAGAAAAGTTCCCATGAGACTTCAGAAAACCACCAGAAAATCAGAAATAGCTCTGTGGCTCAAGTGGTGGAGCACTAGCTTGAACAAAAGGAACTCAGGGATAGTGCCCGGGCCCTGAGTTCAAGCCCCATGACTGGTCCAAAAAAAAAAAAATTGTTGGGTGGGAGGGTGGTGGGAGGATGGGGTGGGAAGGGGAAACAAAGGAGGAAGCTACAATGCTTGATAAGAAATGTACTCATTATCTTGCCCATGTAATTGTAACCCCTCTGTACAGTATTTTCACAATTAAAAGAAAATTGTACATTCAACAGAAACCATACTTTGGAAGCCAGGTTACAGTCTCACTTTTGTAATCCTAACTATTTAGGAGGCTGAGATACGAGAATCATGGTTCAAAGCCAGCCAAAGCCAAAAAAGTCAATCAGACTATCTCCAATTACACAGCAAGAAAAAAAAAAAAAAACAAACTAGACTGGAGGTATGACTCAAGTGATACAGAATTACCATGAGCAGAAGAGCAAGAGTGTAAGGACTATGAATTCAGGATCCCGTACTGGTATCAAAAGAACAAAACTTACTTTGAATTTTGAATTTTAATGTTTTTCAGCCATATCACATGCTAAACAACCAATACACAATCTCCACATCACATGCTTAACAACCAATACACAATCTACAGGGTTTTTTTTTTGTTGTTGTTGTTTTGCCGGTCCTGAGTTTTGAACTCAGGATACGGGTGGACACTGTCCCTCAGCTTCTTTTGCTCAAGGCTAGTGCTCTACCACTTGAGCCACAGTGCCACTTTGGGCTTTTCTGTTTATGCAGTACTGAGGAATCAAGCCACATTCTCCACTGCTAAGCTATGATGTTTATATTAAATATGTTAGGTATAATAAGTGAATTTTCAACTTACAAGGTACTGTCAACTTACAATACCAGTTTTTAAGACATTAACTATCCTAAATCAAAGAGCTAATTGTAAACATACTGATGATAATTAGAACCTAGTTTCTGTAGAAGAGAACTATAAATATAGGATGGGTTGAAAAAACTATAACACACCCTGCAGTAGACTGGAATTGAAGTAATGGATATAAAATTGTGGCATTCAATATATATGCATACATGGAGAAATAAGTGTAAAACATATTCCCTAAATCTGGTCACACATGGTTCACTGAAGAATTGGCTAATTCCAAAACTAAAACAGAGAAATAACCAGATGGACATTTTCTTCAGCAGAAAGAATGATACCAACATTGTAAACAAACACAGAAGCCTTTTGAAGCAAATCCCACTGTTCAAACTTGAGAGAATGGGAATATAAAAATAAATAGTAGGGCTGGGAAGGTGGCTCAGTGGTAGAGCGCTTGCCTTGCATGCATGAGGCCCTGGGTTCGATTCCTCAGCATCATATAAGCAGAAAAAAGCCGGAAGTGGCGCTGTGGCTCAAGTGGTAGAGCGCTAGCCTTGAGGTGTAGAGCTGAGGGACAGCGCCCAGGCCCAGAGTTCAGGCCCATGACTAGACCCCCCCCCAAAAAAAAATAATAAATAAAATAAATAGCAAATCCAGATACAGTGGTGCATGCCTGTAGCTTAGCATGTGTGAAGCAGAAGCAGGAAGATTTTTGGTTCAAGGTCAATCTGGGCTACACGAGACCATGTCTCATAAAAATAAAAAAGAAACTGACCAATAAGCCAATGAACAATAGTAAGAGATAAAAATAAATATGCATTTGATCATGTCACTTGATAAAAACAATAATATAGAAAATAATAATATAAAAATTTTGATGAGGAATATCCTTAAAGTAACTGCCCACCAATTACAATGAGAATAGGATATTCCAACATTTACCAGCCACTAACTCTTCATACTTAATTTTAATATAGAAAGGAAAAAAATGATAGCTAAAATGATTAACTGTTATAAACTTAGTCAAGATGATCCATACAGCCAGCTAAGGAATTAATCTCCAAACAACACCTGCAAACAGACTGATACACACATACTCAGACTGTAGAAAAAAAAGCTTAATGTCTTGATACTCTTATTGTCTCTCTCCTTCTGCCTTCTGTCTAGGCCTTAATACTATTTACTACTTTTTTTAATGGTCAGACATGGGGCTTAAACTCTGGGCCTGGGTGCTGTGTCTAAGCTGTTCAGCTCAAGGCGAGCATTCTACCACTTGAGCCACAGCACCACTTCCAGATTTTTCTGTTTATGAGGAATTGAACCCAGAGCCTCATGCATGCAAGGCAAGCACTCTACCACTAGCCCCCTACCCACCCCTGAGGCCTTAATATTATGTATATCACACCAGTGTGTATAGTAAATTTTCTTTTTTTTTTTTTTTGCTTATGTGGTGCTGAGGAATCGAACCCAGGGCCTCAGGCATGCAAGGCAAGCGCTCTACCACTGAGCTACCTTCCCAGCCTCTGTGTATAGTAAATTTTCTTAACCCCAGTCTTGCTCACTCTAAATAATCTCGCACAGTATTTCTACATAAAACTTCCTGAAGCAAAATATAACTTCATGCTTAAAAAAACCTAATTGTTGGAAAATATCACCAATTTCTTAATTAGTAACCTTGATATTCTGTTTAGGTGGCACAGATGCAAATCCACTTTCCAATCGTACCATCTATTATATTCTTCCAAACACACTATAGGAAAATCCTAATATAGTACTTAATCCTTTAACTAGCTTCCAACTTTCTTTTCTTTTTTTTTTTTTGGTCAGCAGTGGGGCTTGACCTCTAGGCCTGGGCGCTGTCCCTCAGCTCTTCAGCTCAAGGCTAGCACTCTACCACTTGAGCCACAACGCCACTTCCAGTTTTCTGAGTGGTTTGTTGGAGATAAGAGTCTCATGGAGGGCTGGGAAGGTGGCTCAGTGGTAGAGCGCTTGCC